AACGGTTTACATAAGTCATAATGTACTACACGGGGCAAGTCATGCCCGAGAACTGGCGAGCAAAGTGCAAAAACTCAAAACGACCGGTCGGGTCGTTATAGTAATAAACATATAAAAATTTCTCTAATAAAGTAAACCAATACTATTACATAACATATTTAAAATTGTTGGACTTTCAAATATTTTTTTAGCTTTCGACAATATATAACTTTGAAGGCATTGTCGACACTTTCATATAATTAATATTTGACCTCCTTTCATATTCAAATAGGAATATTTTCTCTTCATTGTTTTTAATAATATTTGAAAACTATACTAAATGAATAAATAACTAAAATATTCTTTCTTCATCAATTAATGTGTAGTACTTGAAAACTACTCTCAACAATTTAAAAAATAAACAAGAAATTTAGAGTCATATATTGCTAAATTAAATTTATATGTTAAATTTATATGTTGGTAAATTACATACTAATTTGGGGATAACATTACTAAGTTGGGGATAATTTTACTAAATAATTTTGCTAACTAATTTGTAAAGTTGTTACATATATAACAATTCATCTCATTTGATTATATTGGGGAGGGTACTAATTTTAAGAGGAGAAAGTATGAAGAATGTTTTAAAACTCTTAGTGCTAGTTGACTACTTTTGACAATATGTCTTACTCCTAACTTTTTTAATATCTTTTGACTTTCATGGAATTAAGCTTAACTGAAATCTATTATCAGTTTCATCCATTAAATTATTAAAATTGTTGTTGTAGATTAGTTGAGTTTTGTTTTTACTAAATTTATTGTAGATCCTAAATATTTGAATTTATTTGATGTTTATTAATTATATATACGTTCACTTTAATGCAGGGTTTTCCCATCCTTTCAGTCTACACATTTGGTTGCGGATTCTATGAAGCTATTTTATCATGAGCCGTGGAATTTTTGGGGACAGATAACGTACAATATCATAGAGCAAATTTGGAATCAATTTAGGCTAAAAATTGATTACATTTATTTAAATAATTATCGTTTTCATCTAATGTTACTTTTTTATATTGCAGACAAAGTGTACATGGCATCCTAAACATCAAAATGAAATAAATAGTATTTTCGAGGTTCGATTAGTTTTGCGGCCCATAAACTAAGATTAGTAATTACTTATAAAAAATTTCTTGGTTTTATATATAGAATTTTATATTTGTAATGTCTAACTCATACTTTTTGTTATGAAGGAAAAGGAAAGAGGGAGAGATATGAGTCACGCTGAGGTCTTCGAGGAGACGCATAAGAAAAAGAAGAAGGATGGTACAAGTGAACACTGGGTGGAGACACGTGCATTAGACACATATGTAAAATACTAACTTCATAATTATTTATGATTTATTAATATTAGTTTGTTTACATAATAGTTATGTTTTCATTTCAGGAAGATTATCATAAAAGGGTAGACGAATGGCAACAAACTCAGCCTCCTTCAACTCAACCAATACCTGATGATATGGCTTCATTGTGGACAGAGGCAGCAGGTGGAGCAAACAAAGGCAGAATCTACGGACTTGGAGTACGTTGACGTACAGGTCATCCAAACCCACTCTTAGCCAATTCTTCTTATTCTCAAAATCAAGAACATATGAAAGATATGAGAAAGAAAATTCGTAATTTGAAGCAACAATTGGACTCCCAATTTGGAACATTGGTTAAGATGCAAAATTCATGAGAAAACATAGGCATGATCTATCTGATGATGAGGATGAATAAACTGAATCTAATGTGTAGTAGTTTAGGTGTGATGTTTTGGTTGATTGGTAAACTTGATTGTGAGAGACAACTTTATGTTTTGTTTTTAAAATTCAATGTGGGCTACTATTTGGATGTTTTTATGCCCAAAATAGTTAGGTTTTTATAGTTGGTATTGTTGGTTTAAGTTGTGTTAATGATTGGTATTATTGGTTTAGATTGTGTTAATGGTTGGTATTGTTGGTTTAGATTGTGTTAATGGTTGGTACTGTTGGTGTTATTGTATTGTAATAGTTTGACAGGTGGTGTAGCTCAAAATTGGGCAGAATTCTGGCCAGTTTTATAGAAAATTCCGACTGATTTCCGACGGAAATAGTCGGACAACTGCCCAATTTGTTTTTTAAAACAATTAATATTTAACCGTTTTCGACGGATTCCGTCGGAAATTAAATAAAATTTATTTTTTAATTATTAATTTTCGACCGATTCGGTCGGAAATTATATATTTTTATTATTTAATTTTAAATAAATAATTATTTTTATTTATATTATTCGACTAATTCGTTCGGTAAATTCCGACCACTTTGGTTGGAAATTTGAGAATATTTGGTCGTCTGGCCTTTTGAACGTTCCGACAACTTTGGTCGGAAATCACAGACAGATTTGGTCGGAAATTGATTTCCGACCAACTGTTTTCCGACCGACCAATTTCGGTCGGAAAGTAGTCGGAAATTCGTGATTTTCGACCTATTTCCGACCGTTTTGACGGTCGAAATTCTGCCATTTTCCAGTAGTGTGTAAAAAAAAAAAAATCACGGGGACAATATTGAAGGATAATAATCTTGAGATAGAATGTGAGATTATTCAATTTCATATGTGGTTGAATTTATGTTTTTAACATAATAAAATGCAGAAATAGTTATACCATAATTTGGTACTATTTTTGTTTTATATTCAGTGTGGGATAATGATATAAAGATTTTCTTTTAGCAATGATATAAAGATTAGATTTGTATCTCAAGGAAAAAAGAAAATTCAAATGACCAAAATACCTTCTCCCGTGCTCTTCTCCTAAATCCTTTAAGAAGTCAAGGTTAAAATTAAAAATAAAATTTATACAAGTTTATATATGGAAAAATCAAAGAAATGTTTATATTATACTATGTATATTTTAGTTTTAATCCAATGACTCGAACATTAACAATATTCAATAAACAATTTCGATATTATTTAGTCACTGCATTATAATCTATGTATAATTTTTTGTGGAATTCTAGTTGAGCTTTTATTAGTTATTTTTCTTTCGTTTTTAATTATTCCAACAAATATATATAATTTTTTTATATTACTAAATACTAAGTTATTTGTTGTAAAATATCAACTTAACATTAGTCATCTTTATACTGTCCATTATGTTGTAAATTTTTTTCTTAAACTATAGGGCAGTCTCTTTATTCCCAAATCTCTAAAGAGATACAGATTTAGATTTTAAATAGGTATATTTTATAAATCTTTAAAGAATTTTGATAAAAGTATTTATGCATAAATATTTGCTTTTAGTATTAGGCCACAAAAATAACACTAGATTTCATAAGATATACCCACATAAGTCTTTAGAAATCATGCATCTTAGGATTTATGTGGAGAAAGATTTCTTCCTAGTTAGCTAAATGGAATAAGCATTCACTATTTTCAAGGACTTACACTTTTTTAATTTTCTTTTATAACTCAAAAATATTATTTAAACATTATTTATGTAAGTTTTTAAATTAATATGGGTATACGCGTCTAAAATTAGTTTAGAGAAATAGTAGGGAACGTGATTATCAAACTACAAAGAAGGCCAAACTTGTCCCTTTTTACGTTTGGGAGATCAAATATAATAGTAAGATGATTCAAGCCAAAAAGGGGAAACAAAGAAAAGCAAACAAGAGAGGAAAGCGCCACTGGGAAATCTCTGTCAGTTTTATTCCGAAAAAAGAAGTTCCGTTACCGGGAATCGAACCCGGGTCTCCTGGGTGAAAGCCAGATATCCTAACCGCTGGACGATAACGGATTATTGATAGTTATTGATGTACAATTATAGAAGACTGAGTCAGACGCAAATTCAATGATAGATGCATCACTTGATATATGTGGAATATTAGCGGCAACTCAGGTAGACTACATCCCATTTAAAGGTGGATTTTCAATGTTTTCTCAAGGATAGGGATGTAGAAATTTTATATTATGATTATTTTTAATCCAATGAATTTTCATTATTAAGTCTTTAAATGATCTTTTAAATGAGTACGCCATTTAGCTATTTATTGGAATTACGTAAGTCCTATTAATTTGTATTGTGAAAATAAAGTATTTTATCTATTATAGTGTCTTAAAAAAACAAGGATTAAGTAGACTACTCTTTCCGTTTCAATTTAGATGACACACTTTTCTTATTAGTCCGTTTCAAATATAATAACACATTTTTATAATTAAAAATAATTAACTTTAAACTTTTCATTTTACCCTTAATAAAAAGCTTTTATAACTAGATGTCATGACCCATAAAGCTTTTACCTCTTAAACTTTTAAAATCACAAGTTTAAAAGATTTTCTTCTTTTCTCTTAAACTCCGTACCGAATCGAACTACTTCATCTAATTTGAAAGGGAGGAGTAGGGGTGGCAAACGGACCGGTCGGGTCGGATATGGTTCGGGTCGAAAACGGGTAATGAAAAAAGGGATCAATTACCCGACCCGACCCATATTTAATGCGGATAAAAAACGGATTAACCAACGGATAATATGGGTTACCCATATTATCCATCACTTCTTGTATATGATCACTTTTGGGAGAATTCTTGTCTCCCTAACTTGAGGAACCTCCAATTTGAGGCTTTACAAATGTATAAGTTAGACCCATTAATTATCCATTGGTTACTTATTGGTTATCCATTTTCTAAACGGATAATATGATTCTTATTTATATTTGACCAGTTTTTAAAAAGTTTATTATCCAACCTATTTTTTAGTGGATAGTGGTTAACTTTTTTCTTTTAATCATTTTACCACTTCTATGGAGAAATATTAAATCTTAAACGATGAGTCTATACGTGTCATGCAATAGAAAGAAATAAACTTAGGTGGCGACTTGTAAATAATTCGAGCGGACACACTTGTCAAAAGCAAACCATACGTGGGAAGCTACGAGAAACCTTAGGGTTCATGTCCAGAGCAAGACCAGGACAAAATTCACCCTCTGTTCTGTAGAAACAGCCCACCATTTCATCATCATTTTCGTCCCCTTTTTTATACATACACTTCTAAACTGCTATAATATAAATCGAATTATCAAAGAATCAAACTTGAAGATGATCACCGCGATAAGATTAACCACAATTAGAGCACAACCACCCTCTGTATTCTCAAATCCTTTGCCTTATCATATTGGTCGAAACTCTTCTGAAATCAGATTCAGACAAGTCGTAACCTCAGCTGGCCAACCGGACAATACCGACAAGATGGATCAAGCTAAGAAACCTGCAGACGAAGCAGAGCACAAAGCTGCGTAAGTTTCCTTGCGTTTTTCTTTTTCAGTAAAACTGCCCTGCTTGTAGCGGGCTAGAAGCAGATGTACGTAGTATTTTCTAGGAAGAATCATTTTCTCTGCCTTAATTTATACTACATCTCTTTTCCTTTCTTTCTGTCTTTGATTAGACAAGAAGTTTATAGAAGGCAGCCCGGTGCACGAAACTCTTCATATGCAGCTTCATCGAACCATAAGCAGGGTCATCCAACCATAAGCGTCTATATATTGTACGCAGCCTTATCACATGGCAACCATAAGATATTTTCACGGTTTAAAAGCCCATGGCAGTCAAGAAGTTTATAAAAGAATAAAAGGATTGCGTTACACATGAAAAATACTATGTACTAGTACTACTATTGAAACTTCTCTTAAGAAAGTGTATAGGTGAATATTGACAGCCCCTTAAACTTGACAGCATATTTCATTTAAATGCTCACACTCGCCTCTTCTAATTGAGCATCTGGACACATGATAACGTTCCTTTTGATACGTGGTTTTCTTTTTTGGGAAGGATTAGTAAATGGCTCTTGATTTTCTTTTTTTAATGGAGGTCTTTTTTGTTTAATGGAGCTAGCTGGTCTTGTTTTTAATTAATTGGGGTTTTGATGGTCTTGTTTTTGGTTGTTATAACAAAGGTATATATGATATGTATTATTGATGCAGGTGGCATATTTTAAGTGATTAGTAATTTATTTAGGTTTTGAGAATCTTTGAGCGAAGTGTTTAATACGGATACTTTATCATGTTTATGTGCTCAATTAGAACATAGGCTTTAGTTCGAGTGTTGAAAAATATGGTGGTAAGTTTATTTAGAACACTAAAAGTATAGTGAGTCACAACAGTTAATTCCTTAAAAATTTAAGGAAATAGTGACAGGAGAAAAATTAATTTCTGCAACTGCCAATGATAATAATTATAGTCCCACATAAATTTTAAAACTGGTGTTTGTACTTGGTCAACGTTAGGGAAACAGTAGAGGTGTAGTGAAATTTTGGATCCATGATATATGATTCGGGCAAGTCATGCCCTTGTGTTTTTTCCATTTTTTTTGGGTCTCTATTTTGAGTGTTGGAACATTGCCAGAGTATAATTTGAATTTTATTGGATTGAAGGGACACAATGTCGAGCAGCTTTGGAGATGGATATGCGACCAGATCGGATGAAGAAGGTTTTGGAGGCATTTATGGAGGAAACAAAGAGGATGAGGAAAAGATAATCCATGGAAAAGCCCATGGTAAATAACTTAAATGGTTCATATATATTAATCTTCTTGCTCTTAATATGTCTTCTAATATCAAATTGCTGATGAAAATAGAGTATGATACTAATCAAGGAAGTGAAGTTAAAGAGAAGGAGAAGGCACGTAATCAGCGTCAAGCAGCATGAAGAAAACTGCCATTCTATGGATGGGACTCATGTTGCCGAGCAGCAGATTAATTCGCCAAATAAGTAGTATCTGAACATTGTTTGTTAAATCGTTGGTTACATAATGGTGTATGTTTTTGTAATTAGTCAGGTGGGTGGTTCAGTCGGTCAATAAATCGTGGGATTTTTAAGAAATCACCTAGCTTTAATCAAACCATGCTAAATGCCTATATCCAAACTAAACGTCTAAACAAAATCACAAGCATGGATGGTTTGGAAAAATTCATAGTACTTCGCTAAACTTGTAAAAAATTAAATGTAATAATTTTGTGTGTGTTGGATGAAATTTTGCTAATTACAGCCTTCTATGGTATTTTTGTGATAGTTCCCTTCATGCTTTATCACAAATTTACTTACAAATTAAGTAGCCGCAAGAGCAAAATGGACGGAACTTGCGTTCCAAGCTAAAATGTGAGTGAATAGCGTCAAAGTCCAGCCAGAGCCAACTTTATGATTGTTGTCTTAAATCAATTCTTAAAATTCTTCTAAGGTGCACAAATGAGGATTTACCACTTCTTCAAATTTGTCTGCTTATTTGAGAGTTGTTTGATACTAATTTTATTTTTGTAGAAGAGCGATATCGAGTCCACCGATATAGTAAATGTGGTTTATTAGAACTGCTTTTGGGAGAATGGTAGTTTTGGAATTAAAAGGTGTGATCATCTACTTTTTTTTACCACACTTGAGTTTTTTCACCTCTTTTTAGTATTTAATATTTTCTAGGCTTAAATTTGATAGTTTAACTTTTATGTTATTTTTTAGTAGGTTTTATCAGAGAAATTCATAATATGTTTAACATCGTCTACTACATAAAGGTCGGATTGAATTTATATTAAATACGGATTAAACCTAGTCAAATTATTTCCTATTCCTATAGATCAATTCTATTTTCTTGTTGCATCACCTCTCTCTCTAAACTATTTCCTTGTTCCATCATTTTACTTCTTACACTATTCCTTTGTCCCATCATTTATTTCTGCCCTTCTCCTCTCATCTTTTCTTATTATATATATACACACACATGAGGAAGAAAGGGAGATCAGAAAAGCAAAAGGACATTAGAGAAAATCTAGCAGCCACCGCCTTCTCTTTGCCCCCTTTCGCCTGAAACCAAAACACCTTTCTTCCATTTTAACGACCAAAATATTCACCATCGCACCCCCAGTTCCGGCCATGAAAGATCGTTAAAACATCATTAAAACAAGCTTACAAAATCATTCAAAAGCCAGCTTCGAAGCTCGACTACTTAAAGCACCAAAAATGACCTCACGAAAACTGCAAAAACGAGCTGAAAATAGCCCTTTTAACACCTTCTTCCTCCGAAGTAACACCATTTTGAGATTCAAAAACACCTTGAAATCAGTCCAAACACAACCCTAAAACAGCCGAAACTAGCTGCAAAACAGTCCCAAAATGACCCGCCGAACTCCAGTAAAAATACCACAAACAACCCGAAATCACTCCCCCCCCCCACCCCCCCAGAAAAAAGAAAAACACCTCTAAAACAGCAGCAAAACCACCCCAAAAACTAGCTCCAAAAGCCTCGAACTCAGCTGAAAAATAGCTCCAAATACCAGCCCTAAGAGGTTGAAGTCGAGTTCGTCTTGGGGGGGTTTCGTTCGGTTCGTCCCCTTTAGTCGTGGTTCGTTTGCACATGAATCTTAGGTTTTTTGCTGCATATGTATTGAGAAACATTTTCATCTATAAAGGTCTGATCTTTTAGCTTTCTCACCCATTTTCTTATTCACTACTTTGATAATGTTTGGTTTTTTTGTAAATGTTTGGTTATTGTTTTACATGTCCATATGGATAGTTCCCTTCATGCTTTATTATCTTTGATATACTTTCTTCCTTGAAATGGATCCATTGAATCACTGTAATATTGATTTGTTTACTAATTTTGTTCATGAGATTGTGACGTCATTAGTTTTGTTTAAAAAAGTTTACAAAATATAAGATACCGGGCTGCATAAATTGTTTGGGCCACAATTTGATTTCTAAGGAAGTTGGTCTTTGAGGCTATTAGAGAATAAAAGATTTTGGGCCAAAAGATTTAGTCTTGTCATAACCAAAGTAATAAATAACGGGAATTTTTTCTTCGTATAAAATATTTGAAACGTATTTACCGAAAACGTCCTAGTTTTGTATATTACCCACCCTAAACAAGGATTACTTAAAAATGATATACAATACATTATTAGTGCCTTAAATTAGGAGATTTAGTTACATCCTTTTCCTTTCTTCTCTCCTCTCCTCTTTCCTCACTGCCGTCTATCTGATTAATTTTTCTTTCTTTCTTCATCATTCTTTGTCACCGTGTTTTTCTCTCAATAAGGTAAGCCTAAAAGTTATCTTCTGCCAATCAACCTCTTGAAGCAACCTCCAGGTCGTAGGAATTAAAGATTCGAACACTACTCTATCATAAAGCTTTGAATTCGAATTTGAATTTTCAAAAATTATTATTTATTTGAACTGAGTGTTGTTGTGAACAATTGGGAATATTGTTTGGAGTTTATATCTCATTTTTGAGGGTGTTTGGTGAAGATTAGACTTAGTTTTGGCTGAATTTCAGATTGAAACTCGAGGAAGAAGAAGAACACATGGCATACAATATACTTACGAAATTGTAGAAAAGTTGTAGTATAATTGTATAAAAATTGTATTTTATTGTAGTTATATTTTTTTTATTTGAATGTTGTATGAAAGTTGAAAAATACTTGTTTAATGTATGGATCGTCGCATAAAATTTGTATTTAAGTTATCAATACTATCTTTTTACATAAAGTTGTTGATATATATCAAAATTGTATTAAGAGAGAGTTTTGATTAGGATATATATCTTTAACCATTGTTCTATACCGTTCCCATATCTCGTGTAGTGGTTCATTTGGCTCTTGGTTGAATGCGAAAATCTCATCCCGAAGTGTAGCCATGTGCCTTGGAGAGAGAACTTAGAAATAAACTTTTTCGCCAACTCATCCCAAGTGTGAATGGAATTGTCCGGCAAACGTTCCAGCCAATCTAAAGCTTTCCCCGTAGAGAGAAGGGAAAAAGACTTAGCCTCAAAGCATCCTCGAAGATATTTGTTTGTTTGTTCCACCAACAAGTGTCTACAAACCCCTTCAAATGTTTGTATGCATTTTGACTCGGAGCACCAGTGAAGAAACCTTGTTGCTCTAGCAAAGTGAGCATCACATTGGTGATTTGAAAAGTTGCCCGCTAATACGAGGAGGGACTATTGCACTCGCATATCCTTCATTGGGTAACACCCGGTGTGGAGTCGCTCATGGTGGAGGTGGGGGTGGAGCGAAGACGTTGTCATGAGGAACTCGGCCTCTTCTATTGGCTTGAGGTTCAAGAGGAACCTCATCAACTTGGTCATCCTCGACGTCCACATCCCCTAAAGCAATGTTTCCGAGCTCATTGTTTGCCGCCATAATTGTATCTAAAATTATTTCACACAAATTAGTAACACGAAAGGAAAAGAAGATAATCCACACACAAACCCAAATATATAGCTAACATAGTTTTTAACTCCTCGGCAACGGCGCCAAAAATTGATCACGTCCAAAGCACACCCCAAAAAGGAATATGAAACAATCGTTTGCAATAATAAAATCCAACTAAGAGTCGGGGTCGAATCCGCATAGAGCTATGATGGGAGCTAGGAGTATATTTCAAGTGAGCAAATGGAGTATCTAGATTGCACTACCATAATAAGGTTTTTGTTTCTATTTCTAATGTTAATTTAATGATTGCAAATTAAAGATAGAAGACTAGAAAAAATTATTTTTAAGGTTTTTCCAAATATATAAAAAGCCTAGGGCTATGTCCATGACCTAGGTGTTTGCCTAATGAGATAAAGAATTTAATGCTCGTTTTGTTGATTGGGGTGTATTATAGCTCATAGCTCTATGTTACCCACTCAATACCTCTCGGTCAGAGAGTGATTTTGCCCAATTTGGCTTTTTCAAGACCAAATGGGTATCAACTAAAATTGTTGATAAGAGCTCAAGTCGGGTTGTTACTATCTCTAGGTTGAACCCTTTAATTGGGTTAATCAATCTCTCAATTGATCCAATTCCTTGTTAGCCAAGTTAACCTAGACCAGGTCCTTCTTTCTCAATTAGAGAATAAGTCAAATAGGCATGAATCAATGTTTTCAACCATCAATTCTACAATTGAAGCATGAACTAAGCTAAATAATAAACACCCAATCATAAACAAGCATAAAATTAATCACCCATAAGGTTTACACACTAGGGTTGGGTCACAACCTTAGTAAAAATCTAGCTACTCATAGTGGGTATTGAAGAAAATAAAGAAGAAAAGCTAATAAAACTCATATTAGAAGATTAAAATAAAGAAATCTAATGTTAAAATGTTCAAACAAGCTAAAACTCCCTAAAATAGCAAAGAGAAACGGCTACAATACTTCAGATCTTAAGAACTTGGCCTAATTTTGTGGAAGTCGTCTATTTATACAAGGCTCAAATCTCGCACAAAAATGCCCCTTAGGAGGTTCTGCGGCCGCACAATTCCATGTGCGGTCTGCAGATTTCTTCATCTTGAGGAAGTGGAGTTTTGCGATTGCACATTTCTAAACTACGGCGATGAGGTAGTCTTCTGCGGTCAGCACAATTAGGTATGCAGCCGCAAGGCACTTCTTTTGCGGCCACACAACTCTTGTGCAGTCCGCAATTCATTGAGACTTCTGGACTTGGTCTTTTTGCATACTCTCTGATCTTCGACTCTCAGCTCAGCTTTGCGGCTGCACAATTCATGTGCGGTCCGCAATCTGCGCAAATGTCTGCTAATTTTTCCTTCTTTTTTTGCGGCCGCAGATGGAATTCTACGGTCTGCAATTTCTTCTGCGGCCGCAGAATTCCTTCTGCGGACCGCATAGTTGTAGTTCTACGCCCCTTATTGCCTTGTACCTCAGACTACTCCTTTTTTAGTCGGATTTCATCTCGGGAGATCAACTTCCATTATTCCTGCAATTTTACACAATTTCATTAGTATCGGGAACACAATTTAATGCTTTTAGACTAAAACAAAAGCTAAAAGGTGCTAATAAGCAGTCAAAATCCCCAATTATCAGTCTGCCTCCATGCCTCTAACTGCGCGTTCACACCGCTTTGTGTATCGTCAATCAATACAATATCATCTGCAAGTAGCATGCACCACGGCACCTCCCCTTAGATGTGGCATGTCAGTACGTCCATCGCCAGGGAAAACAAAAAAGGGTTGAGTGCCGACCCCTGATGCAGCCCCATCGGAAAATGGTCTGAGTCCCCA